TACTTAAATATATGCTCTCCAAAACATGTTTTTTTTAAAAAGGGTCCCACCTCAGTAACCGTAAAGGCCACTGATGGGATAAAAAAAAAAGTATTTTTGATAGCTTTAATTCTGCTACATGACTTGAAAAACCCATAGATCCAGGGTGGTAACATAAAATAAACTCACTGCATAGCTGTTGTTGAGGTTGATTTATTCATAGCAGTTAACTGTCTCATTGTGTCATTGAATTTCCTCAAGAGGGAAAAAACCTTCAGTCTGCCACTAACAGACATGTTTACAGATAAGAATGTCTTTGATTGTTCCTTTACAATATTTTCCATCAGCGGGTGGTGACTTCTTCAGCTGAATACTGCTTATAACACACACAGAGGTCATACTTTTACCAGTTAATCTGAATGCTTTTTGGGAACTCTAACCAACAATACTGGTCTACGTCTTTTTATTCGGTGTCTGTTGGTCTGAGCTGAAGTCCTGTTTCCAGATGAACTCTGAACAGTACTGGTCTCCATGGTTACAGCTGGCAGAGCATGTGTAAACCGCCACGGTTCCCCAGTCGATGCTTGCTCCGGTCGAATCCACGTAGAGGCTGTTTAATAGCTGGGGCATCACCTGCAGAAACAAAAGCTGGAGATCAATCCAGGCACAATCCACAGGTTGACATGTTATAAATAAACACTGCAGTTACAGCTGCATGTCTATTTGGTGGTATGTCTCTACTAGCTCGGGACATTTAAGTATTTAAACAGTTCAACTTAATTCAGGTCAGATAAAAAGCACAAAATATTAATTTTCAAGTCCTGCCACAGATTCTTATGAGTTACATTTTGACTTTGACTCTGCCACTCTAATACAAACATGTGATCCTTTTCTCTGGGTCAGACTACTGCTGGAACATTAAGCTCTGCTCCACACTTAGTTTCACAACCTCTTACAGGTTTGGTTCCAAATCTGAGGTATTAACAGTATTCATTCTGGGTTTAAATTGCAGACAGGTGGACGCTGGATTTATTTAGGAGTGCTTGAGTAAATGAGGGGCAATTGACTGCACAGAAATGTGTGGGAAGATCTAAGTGCCAGGAATTACCTGAAACTCAAATGTCCTCTTGGCGCCACAGATGCATGGTGGGATCTGGTCCTCTGAAGGGACATGATCAGAAGAAACCCACAGGGGACAGCCTCCTCGGCTGTAACGTATCACCTGCACAAGAAAAACTGCATCAGAGAGACGCATCCAGACAGCCTTTACTCTCCTAATTGATCAGGCACCTGGTGTGGCTCTGAGGCGATCCTCTTCTTAAACTGCTGGAACACTTTGCTGTCTTCAGTCTCATGCAAAGCCATCTCCTCCAGATCTGCCTCTTCAAGCGCTAACAGGCAGCAGATACTGTCACTCCCATGCAGGACCAAATACTACGTGTTGTGCTTTTCTTTTATATTAAAAGCTTACCATCAGATGAGGAAGGATCAACAGCACCTTTCTGCACATTGCCTTGTTCTTCTTCGCCTTCTGCATCTTCACCTTCTTTCCCCTGCTGCACTCCCTCTTCAGGCTCAGTTACAAGCTCAGACTCCGGGAACAGAAAGGGAGAGGAAGCAACAGTTGGTCCCTCTACATTCGTAAAGAAACACAGCAGAGAGTCAGTCTACCAGAGTCCAGGCTGGGGCTTAATGCAGGGCTGCTGGGTGGAACTATACCAGCACTGAGGCACTCCTTTTTATGGGAGTGTTTCCAGTGGACAGTCTGGTGATGTCTGCCACAGTAGGTCACAGAGTGGCATCGGGAGCATGCCTTGTTTCCAGGGCAACCACACACCCAGCATAGTTTGACTCCAGAGATGGATAGGACATTGTGGTCCTCTTCCGAGAGGTTTTGTGGTTCATCTTCTGTATGAAATAAAACAATCCACAGAACATCTCTACAGGCAGATGATGAAAATAAATGTACTGGGGCTGCTGTGTGATCATCTGCTTACTGTTACCTTCTGTGCTTTAAAGCTCAGTACAGCAATTGAAATAACCTTATTAAAAACTCAAAGGATATTTTAAAGTGATTGTGCAAACCTGGAGGAGGGTCGTAGGAATAAAACTCATTCTTCCTGGGGAGCTGACTTCTGAAAACTGGAGAGTAAAAGGAAAAAAAAAAACATTGAAACACTGGAGCATCGGAAGCAATGGCTTAAAAAAGTGGCTCAAATGACAAGTGAGAAAATAGAAGCACCATAGTATTAAGACAGGTACCTCTCATGCAGCGGCTGTCGTTTTGTGAGTAGCAATCAGGAGTTTTGCAGCAGAACAGGAAGAGTGTTCTGTGGAAACTTCTATCCTGGCCTGAAATTGGTGCATACACCTGCAGCATACAATAGTCTATATTACTTAGAAATATACTACAATGTTTTATTCTATAAACTTTTATTTACAGGTCCAGCTAAATTAATTGGATAATCAAAAAGTTAATTGTTGTGTAATTCAATAAAAAAAATTACGTTGAACTGCTGTGGAACAGTCTAATGGAAGTGGTTCTGGTACAGGATTGCGGCTGTCATAGCCCTGGATACAGCAGTTCATACCTTCTGCATCTTGCCTAAACAGTTGAATGGGCTTTGTTTATAATCCCTTCCAAAACCACATTTCCCAAACCATATAACTCCCTGGTAATTTTCTTATATAAAGTAATCTAATCTTTTTTTCTTTTTTTTTTTTTTACCAATAACTGTTCATACAAAGTCAACTAAAACAAACTTAAAATTTCTTACTGTAAATTAAACATTCTTAGCAACTTCATAACTTATTATTTAACTTAATATTTTTGCTCTTTTAAAATACAAAGTAAAATGCTGTGGATAAACAATTTATGGAAAGTAAAATTAACAAAGCAAAAAAACAAAACGCATTGATATGGAAGTTCAGAGCATTAAATATCTATGGTGCAATGTATAGACATTAACCTCTCTCCTTAGATCTCTTCCAATATTAAAACTTTCTGACGAGGAGGATAATTAAGGTGTCTGTGTAGTCTTTAGAAACCGACCTGCAGCAGGAAGACCATAGGCAGCCCACATTTCTCACACTCTAAGCCGGCCAGAGAGGGCAGGCCCCTCTGGCTGAGCCACGCCGGCTTCCCTCCGACTTTGCTGGGGAACTGTGATGCCCGAAGCCGCCACGGTTCGGAGTCTTCAAGGAAACCCAGAACCACCTCAGCAGATGACATTTCCCTTTTAAATCAGAATTTAGAATACAAGCTGACACAAAAGAGAAGATAACTAACTTCTTAAGAACTGCTACACCACGCTAGTACAACTACCAAAGTGATCCGTGGGGAAACAACAAGCAGCAGGTTAGTTCCGTAGTGAAATACTTGTTTTGTCCAGCAGATGGCGCAGTTTCATTTAGTGATTTGGGCGAAAATGTTCGAAGCTAAAATATCACATTATGACCCTAATTGATTTGCTCTGAACACAATAAAACAATAAAAATAAATCAACCACACTTGCTTAAATATGCAGTTTTGGAGGGGGCAACTGCATTTGAATTTATTGAAATACAATAAGTTAAGACACTGTATGATTAATTTACAAGGGAGGTACATTTTAGCCTAAAATCAAATCCAACTAATTCAGAAAAAATTGGACCAAAAAGGACAACATTTTCTTATTATTTTATTGATTATCCACTGTACATAATTTCTCAACCAGCACTTTCCAATGAATCATTGTGTTGCTTTCTAGGTATAGCTAATTAGAGTCATAATAAAATGGCTTGAAAAGGTAAACAATACACTTTTTGCCCTGTTCTTATTGGGTCACGTTACATTTCAGTTATTATCCTTAATATCTCCGATATACTTCCTGTCTGAATTTGGGTTTTAAAAAACCCACATATTAAAACAGAAACCATTATTGCGTTTGAATCTGCCATGATTTACAAATCCCTTCTGCTATTTATATTCTGTTTAATAAAATACTACAAGTTTATTTTTTAGAATATATATATATATATATATATAAAAAAAGAAAATAGATGTTTTGTGGCGCACAGCTAATTTTAACTCAATAACTGTGGCCTGCATGGACAGGGATTGCATATATTTATAGTTTAACTCACATTTTAACCACGCTCAAGAACAAACTAAATAGGTTAAAAACTGGTTAAGGATATCCTATATGTACTAAATAATAGTTTAGTTAGAATTATGTTTGTTTGTATAAAAAGTAAACTATTTCTAGGTTGGGCTTAAATGAATAAATACTGTAATAATGAACTGATTATTTTCCGTGAAAGAAGAAAATATTGAATGTTTAAATAGTTACTTGCAATTGTAATAAATTATATTCGAAACCCAATGGCGTAATTATCGGTAAGCAGAGACTGCAGTTGCTTAGGGGCCCAAGACCTCCCAGGGGCCCCCCCTCTGACACCTGGTGGGCCCCCTACGCAATTGTGGAATAGTACGTATTTTTACAGATGTAATGGTGCAAAAAAAAAAAAAAAACCTCTTTAACCCACCTGATTCTTCTGTCATTGACCCAACCTTATTTATACCCTATTTATACCCCAACACATGGCGGATTTCAACATGATGGTGAGCCGTTTTAAACACGACACCAGTGGTACTTTTAATTACTATGTTAATAACTGTGTATAGTTCATTAGACGGTTGGTTAAAAAATACGCTAATATAATATGTTTCAAACCGCAATAAAGATCGTAAAAGAACGATGTATTTGAGTATTTTAGTTTATACACTACCACTTGGAATTATGGGTAAACCAGACCGTAGATTAAAACCATAACCATTACTTACGATGCACAATGAGGATGGATACCATAGTTGGGGTGTTGTACTTCGTATGGGACCAAGATAATGTGGCAAATATTGATGTGTCGTTACGCCATTGTCGTAACCTATTACTTTAATACATTTTCTATCCTTTTCCATTTGCTCCAGATCCATGTTGGCTCTTTTTGGACGCATTTCGTCAGTAGCCAACTTCAAGTTCTCACCAGAGTGAATGGCAGTACACACACCAACACACACCCACACCCACGCAGACAGTGATGTCACGAAGGGGGGAGTTTTGGTTTGGGACGGATCAGTCCACCGGACGCTTGGACCGACACTAACTGTTACTAAAGGATAATTAAATCTCTGCTCTTTTATTCGGACTTTGGGGTTAATAGCTCATCAAATTGCACAACTTCAGTGTTTCAGCTCTGCTCTCTGCTGATAGAGAATTTCAGGCTGTTTTATTGTGTTTTAACCATGGAAAGTGAGTGGGAGCGCACAGCTTATTGTGGAGGAAAAGAATGGACCCTGTGAAAACTGACCCCACCAAGAAGGACTGACTTCCACCACCTCCATGTCCCCCTCCTCTCCGTGCCAGGTGTCTGCGAAGCGCGAGGAGGGCTACAAGCCGGCAGCGGTGCCCCCAGCTCCACCCGTCCCGCCTCGCAGGGTCCGGAGCCGGGACGGGGGCTCCGGAGGAAGGACGCGGAGGGCAGCAGCTCCGGAGAGGCGGGTGAAGTGTGTGCTGGTGGGGGACGGAGCTGTGGGGAAAACCAGTCTGGTGGTCAGCTACACCACCAATGGTTACCCCACCGAGTACGTTCCGACAGCGTTTGACAACTTCTCTGGTAAAGGATGGAGGAAAACACTTTACATCGAATTTAATCTACTGTAATCTAATCTAATCGATAGATTATCTCCAATTGAGCTTTATTAGAGTAATTCATCTGTCATGGTAAAATATTTACGCATGCATCATAACCTCATAAAATGTTGGTAAGGAATAGAGAGAAAAAGGTACACGTTATAGAAATGTTATCATCTAAATGCAAGGCTAATTAATTGTAGTATTTTTATATGTGTGTATTTCTGCGTAGCGGTTGTATCAGTGGATGGACAGCCAGTGAAACTTCAACTCTGTGATACAGCTGGACAGGTCAGTGCAAACAGTATCTTACTATCTGATCTGTCTTTTATGTGAAAGGCCAACAAAAGTGTAATTTCTAGAATATTCCAGGAAAATTATATGTGCTTTAAAAAAAAAAAAATGTAAAGAAAATATGAAAAACCCCAAATGAGCAGAAACTTTGTTGATGCCAATTTTGCTTTCAGCAACATCTGTAACACTTTTTGGGCTTTGTACATGATGATGGCTTTTTTTTATTCCTTCCTACATAATAAATAGACTGCTTTAAAAACACCAGCACTTTTTTAAAGTTTGACCAAAGCTCCTGAAGTAGATTTCAATTTTGTACTTTGACTAGGGCCATTTTAACATGTAATGTGCTTTAAACTAACCATATGGTTATATCTATGGCAGAATGTTTATGGTGATTATCCTGCTGGAATGTTGGATCTGATCCTTATGGCTGCATCTACCTTTCAACTCTGACTAGCTAGGAAAACATATTTTCCCTGAGCATTTAGTGGCACCACTGTGTTTCATGGTGGAGATGGTCTGTTTAAAGGAATATTCCTTGTTACATTTCTGCCATATATGGCTTTTATAAGTAGGCCAACAAGTTCTTTTTTAGTTTTTCCTTCTACTCTGCCTTCATCCACACAGTATCTGCATCTTACCCATTGCTTGTGGAAATCTGCAAAATAGGTTTCTAATAAGTTACTTTAGAGGACAAAGTTTCTTTTGCCATTCTCTGACTGAAGTTAAATTATACTAAACACACACAAAAAGGAATCGAAATACTTTAGCAAGGCCTTGCTATTATTCTATGCTGAACTTGAATCGCTTGGTAGGTAGTTATTCCTTTGCCTTATCTTGTTTTCCTTTGTTAAGCTTTAAACCTTTCAGATTTTATGCTGCAAAGCAACAGGATATGCGCGACATATAAGGTCAGGGATAATGCAGCAAAAGTCCCTGTCTGGAGCTGAAATAGCAACACTGTGTAGTTGTGTATTTGAATGGTTTCCCCCCTTCCAGTTACAAGCCTCAGGGGAAGTTTTTATTCAGTGATAAATGGGCTTTAGTCTAGCTTTACTGGTGTGGAGCTCCTAAAGCAAAGAGAAAAAGTGATTTAAAAGGAACACAAAATTATAAAATCTTATAAATGAATGTATATCCTGTCTGGGAAACTTTGCGTGTGATGGGACTTTGCCTAAAAAAAACAAAACAATCCCCTGTAGACAGGAAGTGATGTAATTTTCTCCACAGCTGCAGCAGATGATTGTCTTTAAAAGATAGTAAAAGATCCATATCGTGGAGGACAAGCTGCTTCTGGTTAGACGTTATGAAACCAGTTCTTGGCTGAAAGACAGTGAGATATGCCAGGCATGCCGAGCATCACATTTCTGATAAGAGAAACAGATACTTTATAGACACATGGGGGGATTGGATGACAATTAAGCTACAAGATGGATGCTCAGAAAAAAATAAGAATCATGAGAAAATATCTCCTCAGCTTGGAAGAATGGATTATAGACAACTTTTCCTGATTTCAGAGAGACAGTGAAGAGAAAACGTCATACTTAATCATATATCAATAACAATCATCATGATGTGCCTATAGATAGATATTTATTTATTTCTATAACACTTTAGGGGCAAATATTCACAACCATTTTATTCTGTTTATGGTTTGTCAGATTATTTGATGGGCCACAAACATTTAGTGGATAATTGTGAGGTGTAAGAAAATAATAAATGATTAATACTTCTGCAAATAAAAATTAGAAAAATGTGGCACACAAAAGCAAACATGGAATGAATTGCCATTGATGAGATTAAAATGAAGAATTTTTAGCCTACTTATGAGAATCACTGAGTGGAGGAAAACTACCTTAAAGCTGAAGTCTGTAAGTTTTTAAAAATCACTTTTTTGTCATATTGGCTAAAACTATCCCTATGTCCAGACAGCAGTACATGGGATATGTAACCTGTGAAAAAAACTGCTTCAATTGGTCCCGCCTACTGCCTGTATTGCAATCAGGAAAGAATATTTCGGGACGAGGCAAAACAACCAATCACAGCCAGAGGAGCGTCTGATGGAGTGTCAATCACAGCTCACACACGCTGAATCCCGCCCCCTCCCTCTCACCGCTGAACCTGCCGCTGCCGCCCGGCTGCCGCAGTCAGGAGGACGCGCGTGGAAGTCATGGCGGAGCGACAGCCACCAGCGAAAGAGAAACTGCCCTTACTGCCCCTGCCGACAACTCTTACCGGTTATCGCTCTTACCGGTTCACACTCCATACCGCGTACGCTGCTTGGACGCTTCTGGTCGCATGCGGTAGCCGCGCAGATGCTGTGAGAGGGGTGGAACTTGGAGGTGGGGCATGAGTGAAGCAGAGAGGGTGGGGGAGTGGCGTGAAACCTGTTTTTCTTCAAATTTTCAGTCGAACTCCCGCACAGAGGGGGTGTGCGGGAGTTGCGGTCTCCGTCGGCTCGGTAACCGCACCGGAGCCAGTGTGAGCAAGGGGGAAGTCTGCTCTCTTCTCAATGTAACAGACTGCAGCTTTAAGATACCATCCCATTTGGGAGATGGACAGAGACAATCCTAGTGCTTCAAATGTCTTTAGAGTGGGGTGTGTGGGTGGGGGGTTGGCGTCAAGGCAAGATCAAACTTCAAACTGTTGGATCTACATTTAATCTGAAGAAACTTAAGCTGTTTTTCAAAATCAAAAAAAAAAAAATGGGTATCAAACAAATCTGCAAATGTTCAAAGCTGTTAGATGGTAAGGGCTGTAATTGTAGCACCGCTAACTTTACAAAGTGTTCAGAGCTTTATTTCCATTTCCCAGTCATGCACTCATTTTTGAAATGTACTATTTTAAAATGTAAAAATGGGCTTATGTTGATATTGGTGCCAATGCCTGAGTTGTGCTATGTATTTATTTGTTTTTACTCTCCCCTCATCTCTCCGTCAGGATGAGTTCGACAGGCTTCGCCCGCTGTGTTACACCAGTGCAGACGTGTTCATGCTGTGCTTCAGTGTCGTCAGTCCCGCCTCCTTCCAGAATGTTCCTGAAAAATGGGTCCCAGAGATCCGTAAACACGCCCCATTCGCTCCCCTGGTCCTTGTGGGGACACAGTGTGACCTCCGGGAAGATGTCAAGGTGCTGAGTTTTACTCTTGAGCAGAGCAAAAATTCTCCTAATGCTAAAATATTCATATTATTAGAAACTAGATTAATATATTTTAGGATAAATGAATCTCATAGTTGCTGCTGAAACAATCTTCCTCTGTTATTTGGACTGTTTATTATCCTTAGAATAAACCTCTTGAGTCTTTCTTTTTTTCGTGAAGATAACGGTAAAACACTTTTGCTGTAACTCTACTCTACTAAGGAGAAGTTGATAGGAGCAACAAATGCTATCCAGCAGCACAATGACCCTATTGGTAGGGCTAAGGATGCTACCAAACAGTAAATAATTTCTAACTGATGTGAAATATCCACGTCTGGTGATAAACTGATGGTTCCTCAGAGCAGGGGACAGTACCTTGATGATTTACCTTTGAATTTTCCTGCTAAGGGCCTCTCCATGAGTTTGATTTGAAGTGAAAGGATGGAATTTCAAGCTGCGCTTCCTGCCATCTGTTAGCCTCTTGTCAGCTGCTCCCTCTAAACCGACAGTACTGGTTATTGTACATCTGTGTTTCTCATGATGTTGGACATGTCATGATGTTGAGCTCTGTGGAAAACACAGGTTAGAGTCAGCAGTTAAATCTGCTGGTGACACTCCAAGGATGTGAGTCAGTTTTAAAGTGCATTTCCTTTCCCTCCCTAATCTCTTAGAAACTGTATTTCTGTGTTGTTATGTTACCTCACTGTTAACTAAAAACTGGCAGGTTTATGATGTTTAATAAGGATTTTGTTCAATGACATTATGTATTATTTCATTGTGATTTTAGGTTATGAAACAACTTAATAAAAGCAAAAGAAAAACAAAATAGGAATCTAAAAATTGTGCTGTACATTTATACTATTGAGTTTGTTGAAAAACTAGCTTTGCTGCAAAATTACCTCAGAAAACCTTTACGGGATTATCTTCACCACCTGTTGCTCAGGTTCCTAGCCACTGATTTCAGTAGCAGGTAAAGAATGTTCAGTCAGATTAGAAGGTGAGTTTCTACAAAAATCTGTTTTTAGTTCTTGCCACAGGTTCTATACTGCAAAAAAGCAATATCTAAATAAGTCATTTTTTTTCTAAAAATTTGTGCATTTTTTTATTGAGCAGGTTAGTGAGACAGTTTGCCAACGGAACAAGACAATTTACATTTAAAATAAGAAAAAACAATTTCTTAGAGAACAATTGTATTATTTCAAGTGCATATTATCTAATTATCTTATTTTAAGAGTAAAAATATTAATTTGATTGGCAAATCATCTTATTTACCTGCTCAAATTAAGAGTCAATACACTTAATCTAAGAATTTTTACTTATTTCTTTATCATTTTTGGTGTATAAGGTGTGGACCTATAATCCATATAACACATGAATATACTTTAGGCTATGTGAGAGGTTATTCAGCCTTATCTATCACCTTCAGTTTGGGGATGTGTCCTTTTGGATTTCTTCCACGCTTGACTTGAATTCAGTCCTTAAGTTCAAATTTGGTGACCAGAGAACCTTCGTCAACATGTTCACTGTCTCTCCTACATATTATGTGATAAATGATTGTGGTTTTAATTCTAAAAAAGTTAAAATAGAAACCACTGGACCTTTTGTTTTCCAAGTTTGCAGACGTTTCGCTTCCCATCCAGAAAGTTTTCTCAATTCAAAATGTCTGGAGTTTGAGTTCCAGGCTTATAGAGTGGCCCAAACTAAAGCCTTTTTTTGGCTTAGAAAACATGCTAACTGAACCGAAACAGTTTCACTCCTTAGTAATGGAGATTTGTTGAGGTCTTTGCTGGCCTGCAAAACCTGATACTGACCCATGCCTTTGAAAAGGCGTCGTTAAGGTCATTGTTGGCCTGGCTGACCAGGCGAGATGTTTTGGTCCCCTGCATGGCGATGAGGTTTGAGATGTAAGCAGGAAGGAATCAACTCACTGTGTTGTAGGTTTTTAAGAGCTGGAACCTGAGACCACCCCCTCTGTTAAAATTTGTTTTCACACCCCTTTCAAACCACCTGTCTTCTTTGTCCAAACTGTGAACATTCTGGTCCTCAAACGAGTGTCATTTGTCCTTAAGGTGTAGGTGGACAGCAACAAACTTGGAAAACAAAGTCCAGTGGTTTGTTTTTTAACTTTTTTTGGAATGGCTATGACCTGGATGACCAAGAAACTTCAACGGCATTGCGGTTCAAATGTAAATAAATATAGGAAAGCTCAGGGAGTGGGGATACTTTTTTAAGGCACTGTGTAACACTCGACTCTGACTCCCTCCAGGTGCTCATCGACTTGGCTAAGTACAGAGAGAGACCCGTTGACCCCACAGATGCCCGGGAATGTGCCATGGAGATTGGTGCTGTGGCCTACATGGAGTGCTCCTCTCTGACCCAAAAGAATTTAAAGGAGGTTTTCGATACAGCCATCCTTGCCAGCCTGCAGAAATACAGCTCCCGGAAACACTCGAGAAGCAAACAGAAGCATCGAAAAAAGCCAAGGCAGACCCCAGACAAGATGAAGAGGCTTTCAAAGTCATGGTGGAAAAGGTACTGCTGCGTGGCCTAGAGCAGGCCTGGGATGCTCCTAGACAGGATTCATCTGGTTTCAGTGATTCCAAAGACACTTTTTTTATACATAAAGTAACTATACACAACCATGCTGGGAACATGGATTGAAACATAGTAAGACTTTTGCAGATGTGAAATGTTTTTATCCATATTGCGAATCTGATTTACTACTGAGTTTCTAGCATGAATTCAATGCAAGGTTCTTCTTTGTTTATTTACTTAAAGCAATGGTTCTGTCCTGTTCTGGGACCATAAAAGACAGAGTTTTGATAGTTTTGATAGTTTCTTTTTTTTTTGTTTGGTTCCCAGCATGTTTGATATATTTATCCTGCTTTTTTATGTATTCCAGAGGAGAAATGTGTTGGACATAAATATAAATATGTCTGATGATCTAAACTTAACAACACTGTCAGCTGACTAAACTAATCCTCTAAACTCTTCCCCTGTGGAATTTTTTAAAAGTGGGATTGGAAAGTGCTGTCCAAAGCCAGAACTTTGTAAATTAGGATTTTTGTGATGCCGACATGGTCTCCAGTTCGACCTAAGGTTTAGGATACTCTGATGAAAGGATTCACTCACTTGTAGATTTTATATATTTAGTTCCATGTTTTCCAGTCAATGAATCAGACCTTGATTAACTGTATTTTTTGGTCTTAAGCGGAACAATTCACACTTAGTTTAGGTTTTAAGGTTTTTGTGGAAGCTCAGAGATATATAATTGTGTTCTGAACTCATGCAAATGTTTTGTCTCATAAGATAACACTAAATGTGCCTGCTTTGATCAAAACTAAGATTTCCAAACAACACGCATTCTTTATGTCATGAGGAAATAAAAAATAGCAGAAAGCAAAGCCATTTATCCTCCTTTTCTCTGAAACACAGCAGAAGCAATAGTTAAAATGGAGCAGTGCTGGTTTTGGTTGTAGTGGTAAATCTGATATGAAAAGGGCTTGGCTGGAGTGGCGATTTATAATTGAATGCTTAGGAGGCTAAACCTTCCCTGTAAATACGGTAAAATTATTGGTAAAATAATCATGGTCAAACTTCATAAATGAAGCCATTAGCTGCATTAAATACGTCCTAAAAAGAGCCTGATTTCATGAGTATGTTGCACATTAATCAGCAGTTTATTCCACTCTCTGAGATGATCTCCCCTCTGCTCTGGAGAGCAGGACGCTGCCTGTGAGCCTCTACAGTATGAGAAATCCCTGCTGAAGTTTCAGCCTTGGTCTATTCAGGTAAGCAGCAAGAAAGTAGAGCCAAAATATGTCAGTACCACTGAGGCTAAATGTCTTAGGGGGTCTATGGAGCATCATTTTTAAAGGCTCAAAAATCAAGATTTTGCATGATATAGGCCTTTTAATACATACCAGCATAGGATTTAAATCATTTACCTGCCGTTTAACAAATATGCCACTAATTGTGTTGGTCTAACACAAAAAAATCCACCTGAAACACACTAAAGTTAGTCCTTGTCAACAAATGATAATGCAAACCAATTTTCCTAAACAGTACATGATATCCACCATGGCAAAAACCCTATAAGACATTTAATTATCTTTACATGAATGAATCTCTTTTTAAAACCTCTAAAACAGAGAAGATAATGGATTGACTGGGGCCATTGCTTGGGTGCAATACTAAGGCATGAACAGTTTCAAAATCATAAGAAATATGGATCATTTTACTATTAGGCGTGGTAGTTTTAAGAACGTCAAGCACAAAAAAAAGAGTCTTACAATATTATTGCATCCTTAACAACAAAAAACAAAAAGACAGACCAACCAGTAATAGTCTTAGTTCCCCTCACTATTTTTTGCTGGGAGCTGTAATCTACCATAATACAGCTTGAGAACCAAGCTGAGATATCAACCTTCCCACAAATGTTTGAGGATGCTAATCCCATCAACGAAACAAACAAACAAAAAATGAACCACACTGTCTCTTGATCAAAAACGTTCACTTGCTTGATGGAAGTCTTGGATTCTTTCAGATGAAGTTGTTTCTGATGCAACTCAATGGGTTCACTGTGTCGATGTTTCACTGCTGGTACAAAATGCTTTGTATGTTGGACTGGTAAAAGGCATAATAGGTTATTTGTCTTGTGGAGTTAAGTGGGCTAGAGGTCACACACTCTTATGATAGCTGGAATTTCCTGAGCCAAGTTTACAGCATTTAGTTTTGTATTTCATTAATTTCTGTTTTAATAAGTGTTTCTGGTTTGCCTTTCTGTGTCGATTAGAAGAAACCACTTGCTTTTTAAAAAGACTTGAAGACAAATGTTTAACAGACATGATTTATATGTCGAAAGTTTCTGCTGAAAGCAGCAACTCTGATTCCAATGAATATTTAAAGAATGCAATGTGCTACAAGGCTGGCACATCATTTGACTCCCACCTTTGCATTTTCAAAGGTTAAATCGTTTTACTGCTCAGGTGGTTGATGCACTGTGGGGTCGGAGCTGAGTCGTAGATTTGTGACGTAAAGCATATGGTAATCTGAATGTGAAGATGGAAAACAGATGTGATAAATGTTGGGAATTGCAAAGTTATTCTCAATTGTTCTTCTTGAAGTTTGTAAAACTGTGAGATTTAAAACTCATTGTTCTGAGACTTTAAGACATTGTTTGTTATGACGGGTATCCACTGTATGCTGGTGCTGCTGGATATGCGATATGGATATTCCAAGCATTTTAGAAAGCTCTGTGAGTTTAAGTAAAAACAGATTGATCGAGTTGCAGATGCTTCTGCAATCCGATCACACATAACAGCTACTTAACCGGGATCCCTTAGTAAGAGGAGAATGAGTTTGTATAGATCTGTATTCTGAAAAATAAAGAATATTTGTCATAAAGATAGGCTGCTTCAAGAGTTACATTTGTTCAGCACCAACGGCAGTGAAAGTCATATATATGTCTTTATTATAATAACAAAAGCAGCAACAACGATAAAAATAATAATTAAATTGAAAACAACAAATACTTTAAAATAATAAAAAGACTATTTTAAAAGTGGTTTAACATTAATTGGCAAATGTTAGAATAGGTTATATTTATAGCCATGAGTCAAAGGACCCAACATCTCATTATACTGCCCCAGTCTGGAACAAATGCTCTAAAACCTTTGTGCTGCTTCACTTCGTTCTTTTTTGGTTCTTTTCACTGAGTCAACAAGTCCCTGAAAATTTTGTTTACAGACTGGAAAACAATGCAGTGATGAAATAAGTGCTTTTGGATGATCCTATTCTTGGTTTTGGTCGGGACTTGCAGCGACATTTCGATTGAGCTGCACTTCTCTGATGTTTTTAGAGACCATCACAAAAATTCCACTTCCTGAAAATCACGCATGTATTGTTTTTGCAATGCATGTGTGTTTCATATAGAATAAATAACTTTTTGAATGGTAAACCATTCTAAGAAATAATTAAATGCCTACTAGCAAGTAATTTTTTAGTGGTAAACATTATGTGCATGCCTAATGTCATTACCCTGCTAGGTTTCTGAAAGTTCCTTGGGTTTAATTGATTGATTGATTTACTTTATTGATCTCACAGTAGAGAAATTAACTTGTTACATCATCTCAAATAGTCAAACGAGAAGAATGTGCCAAAGGAAGAAAAAGTTGCATGGGATATATACAGTATATACATTTCGTCCACATATGAAAGCTTTTTTGTTTGTTTGTTTTTTTCATTGGAAAGCTTAGCTTAGCGGAATGCAGACTTCTACTTTTTCTGACCAAAATTTGGCTTTTTTTTTGGTAAAATTATTGAAAATATTTTGACATGCACTTAAAGTTGCATTTATGCTGTACATATCTGTGTGGCTATTGTTATTTTTAGTTTGTTTACGCTGTTGCATCACATGATGCAATGCAAAATTTGCTATGGGAAAGATTTTGGTCCAAGTTGTCAGCATTTGCACCCACCCACCCAATATCAATGACAGCATGAGTCATGTGCTGTTGTTGAAACGTGTCTTTTGACCTTTCTTTTTTACCCCCACGATTTAATCATTTTTCAAACAGATAACAAGAACATGGGCCTAGATAGGTTTTGTAAAGAAAACTTATATTTTGATTGTTCATTTTCATTTAGATCTCAACCATGACTTTTTGTGTAGTTTTGCACCGCAGTGTTTGCTTTTAGAAGTCAAACGACCATAGGGCTTTCAGCTGCACATCAGTAGAGATTTAAACCGTGCTTGAGTACACAAAGAGATAAAAACAAGTGCACACACCAAACACACGCAAAAAGTCACCCAACTTCAGCCTGGATTACTCTGAAGAGCCTCACCATTCCAGGCAGCCCTAGTTACGCAAGAGCTTTATTTTGAAGGCTGTCATGTGCTGTTTGGTGAGAGGCCTGTCTTTTCTCTTTGACACAGCATGTATGTGAGCCAACTCTTTATCTGACAGCACAGTGAATCATGAGAAGGCCGACTTTGTTATGGTTATATCAGCTGTTCTTTGACTGCAGATGCTTATGCTTCTGTTGTGTGCTGGTATGTATCCCTGGTACCAATTAGAGACGAAAACACAATTTATTCTCAAACGATTTTCTCATCATTTGAACTTGCAGTTTCAAATTTCAGATATCTTTTAAAATCAACAATGTATAACATATAAAGATGTCAGAAAATATCACCAGCAACATGAATACAGTGTCTTTAGTTACTACAGGTGATGATGCTGTGTTTTTTTTAAGGCTGTAACAAGAAAGAGGACGTAATTAAGTTAAAAAATATTTTCACTGGAATTTCCTTTAACTATGCTGCTATGTAAATATTTTTCTCTATTTATTTTTATTAATGATTGTACTTTTTAATTTCACAATTCTTAACTGCCATCAAAACTATAATTAATACAATATTTAGTATAAAATCAAAATGTTATTTAGCTATATGTTTGGCGGAGTTTATGTATGGAGTTTGGTGATGATATGTTTAAAGACTATCAATGGTTCTTATTTACTCTGTTTACTTTCCTACCCTCTCCTATGGTCATGAAATCTGGCTAATGACCGAAGGAATGAGAATTGTTTAAGTGCTGTCTTATAAGAGTTTGTAAAAATAAGGCCTTAAAGAAATTTATCCAGAAAATAAAAAAAATATATATTGTTTTGATATACATAGAAATATATGTTCAAATTGTACAAAGGTTACAGATTAAAGCTGCAAACTTTCTTGTCACACATTGAGAGTGTGTTCATGCTAATTGTATAACTCTGCTGTGTGTGTGTGTGTGTGTGTGTCTTTGTGTTTGTATTACATAATATAAAAAGGAGTTAGGGTGACATCAGTGCTCTCTCTTTACAAATAAAGCTGAAATGCAATCTACCGTTTTCTAACAAGCTGTAAATCCAATCGATGTTTGTTTGCAGGCAGCTGCTTTGTAATGTGTGTGTCAAGTTAAAAGAAAGTCATGAAAGGAGGTCAGAGAAGAGACATCAATGGATGGGGAAGAAAACAAAGACATGCATTCAATAAAAAAAAGAAACTACCAAAACAACAAACCTTGAGTTACTAAGAAACCAATCACAATCATTGAACAACTTCTTTGCTATTTAGTGGAAGCAGCAAGAGCAACGTTTGTAATTCTGAGGTCCGATTCTTTAGTTTTATTAAAAAACGAATCGTTCCTCTACTCATCAGGTAGTGTACCGCTGTTAAAACCTGATATTTTTATAATTCCAAAGCATTTTTTCACTCTCTGCAGACATCAAATAAACTTTCTTTCTGCTTAAAGCTTAAGTTTGTAGTTGCTGCTTGCCGCTGCTCCTCTTATTTCTCGGAATCCTTGTTCTGCCACAGTAACCAACTACGAAGAACCGCTCCACTGGATCTCACTCCTTCTAGGCTCAGACTGAACTTTGCAAAGTTGGTGACTTTCATCCTCATTGTCATTTCCCTCTTGAGTTCTTAAGTCACTGACCTGAGTCTCTGTTTCTGCAGAGATTCCAGTGAGTCCTCCTCAGCTGACGCACAGGCGCATGTTTCTTTGAATAAACACTTGTTTCAAAAACTGATCTGTTTGCTTGGATTCTGGATCCTACGTTCTGAGCCTTCTGACATCAGCAATTTTTTTATCCCCTACCTTGTCAACTGATGATGAGGTTTGTTTACATTATAGATGCACAGATCAGTATTTTGGGAGCTAATCCCCAATTACCGATCATCAAAATCAGTACATACAAAATCACTGATCACAGCATCAAATCCATAAATTCTTGGATATTGTTGTCTGATATACAGTGACATTACATTATTAAGTATAAAAAGTACGAGACGAGAAAGTACCATGAACTTACCACTGTTTTAGTGAAGGAGGCAGCAGAGACAAGCTTTTTTAAATCTAAATGGAAGATAGAAAATAATGTTGACAAGGAATGAAGCAGGCAATGCTCTAAAGAGGTTTGTGGGTGGCTTTTGCATATCACTCATTTGATTGGGCCCTAGAAGGACTGTTTCATCATCCTACCTCCAGGACAGACTGTGATCCTCCACTCTCCTCCTGAGCCATTGCTTTGGTTCCTTAGCTCTATTTGGGGGCATGGCTGGTTGCCTCATCCCCGTTATGAAGCTCTCTCAGCTGCTGTTCTCACACTGATTTCCTGCTGCTCCTGCCTGAGCTCCAGAGCATTGCTCACCTTACCTTTGTTGTCAGGGTGATTTTTTCCCCCCCTATTTTGCGCACCAGAACAAACAAGGACCAAGTGCATGAGAAAGGAGTTTACATAGANACACTATAAATCACAAGTAATGGAATTGAAATAATACATTTTATCACAACAAGAGATAGACTGGTTCAGATATTAGCTTGGTTCTAGACTTGACAAGTGGCTTGTTTTTCTTACAGGAAAGGGGGTATGACAGAGGGGGAGAGACATGCGGTAAAGGACCACAGGTTGAATTTGAA